ACACCTGACTACTACAGAAATCCACATGACTCTCTCCATTTTTATTATGACCAGTGTGCACTGGTGATAACCCCTGTTTTATTTATGTACAACTTAGACAGTGTTGTAACACTATAACAGTTAAACAGATCTCAAGGGCAAATACTGAAATTGTCTGCAATTACATTAATGCACTTTGTCAAGCTAGCTTTTAAAAGGGAAGCCATAGGTGCACACACTGTGCTCTGTTCTTCTGATATTCCCATTCCCTTATGAGTTAAGGAAAAAGTATCTGGTTTACTTACCAGTTAATAAATCAAGGTGTTCACCAACAGCCCTTAACCTATTAGATCCAAAGTACTTTTTATCCACTGCACTAGTCACCAGTTTTGTTATATTTTTAATAACTTCCTCTTCCAAATGGGGTGGTTTATTTTTTACTGTACAAAATTTTATCCTCCTAAGGATTTCTAAAACATTCAGCAAATTTACTCATGCAGCAAGTTCCATGTGTTTCACAAAATATTACTACCCTACTGCAGGAACTCAAAATTTTGTTTAATATAGAAACATGTAAAAAAATCAGTAACAGCAACCTGGAAAAAGGAAGACTGCAAGAGATTTACAGCAAACTACTTTTTAGATCTATTTCCCATTGGTAGAAATGTAATTAAGACATGATCCAGACATTAATAAATGATAAAAAGACATTCAATTAAAAATCCAAGGCACAAGAGAGAATAAATAACCTGCACAAGATCTGAGAGCAGGCAGAAACTGAATTCCTAATTGGCATGTTAGGACTTTATTTCTAAGTAATGAACCATTCTCAGAGATGACTTTTCACTTTCTTAGAATCTGGGATTTTTGAAGGATGGTTAGTTACTTGGGCAGCTAATGGTAGAGATAAGGTTTGTGAGACATCTTTGCAGTTATAAACCTACTTGCTCTGCAGGAAGACCTCACACCTGTTTCAAAAAAATCATGCAAATAGAGTCATATTTTACGTATTTTAACACAGTAAAAATGATGGCACAAACTACAGAATCTTCCCACAATAACTGAATGTATATAAATTCAGAAAGAACACTGTAAATCCACAGTATTTTTTTTACTCTGTTTTTAAAACTGTTACACATACTCTTGTGGTTATATATATTTTTAAAATATTCACAAACTTTTGCAAGTCAATGAAGTAAACCTCCAGTACAGTATCATGGCTTCATAAGCTTTTCTTTTTTTCCAAAAAGGATTACTAATCTGACTTTAATAAATACAAATTTAAAATTATTTGTAATACTGATTTTGGTTAATATATACTTTGGGTTTATATATATATTTTTATATCTGAATTATAACATGCATAACAATACTAGAGCACTGGATAATGAAGCCATTGCTCATAAATCTTTTGTGGATTGTCTTTGACCAACATTATGCCACCTAAAGTTCCCATTTTTCAGATATGCTTACTTATTTCTTCCCAGAATTAACATCTTCAAACAGCTAACTCCCCTAAAATAGACTATGAAACACAACATCTGGAAATTTTATCAAAACATTTTTGGAAGTAGTACAACAGGAAGAAGACAGATAATAACAAAAGGACAGATAATAACAAAAAGACAAAGTCTCAAGTTTGACAACTGAAAGTAGAGTGTGGTATGAGAAAGATTTTATTGTAGCTGGGCTAGATTTCTAAGTTTTAGAAATGCGACATCCTGGCTAAACCACAAGTAGTCCTGTAGTCATGTTCTTACTCCTCGCAATGCATGCTTGCATGGTAGAGAAGCTATAGAAACTATGAGGCTCACAACAGAATCACTCTTCCCCTGATGTCTACTTACCTACTAAAGTACATGACATTTGTATCTCACAGCAATAAAAGATTGATCTAACCTGTTCCATCCAACTGCAAATTTTCATCTGTCACATTTTTAATCTCAGTATATCTGTGTTACTCATTAATCTTTGTTCCATTCTCACTATCAAAATGGTTAGATACCCCATAGACACCTATGAACTCCTAGCTACTTTATTCCAACCTGGTTTAGCTATCATTGTTTTATTGTGATTATCTCCAGCTCCAAACTAGCACTGTCATCTCACTTCTGCTACTTTACAAATGCAGCTAAATAAAGATATGAAAAGCCTTCCATGATAAAAGATTCTTTCAAATCTATGTCATTTCTATTTCTATGAAAATACGTTACACTTAGGTATGTAGATGAAGAAATTAGATCTATTTCAGGTCAGAAGGTATGTAGATGAAGAAATTAGATCTATTTCAGGTCAGAAGTTAGGGACTTTGCTCTGTCAAGTTCAAAAGAGAGACAATGAAACTGAAATCAGTAATGCTGTATCTTACTATCAACCCTATTTCTGATTTTGTTTCTCTAAGTTAAAATTGTTCCATAGTGAAAAAGAAGCTAATTACCTATAAACATAATACCTCTGCATAGTCTCATTTGTGGGTACTGTGTAATGATTCACATTTCTGATGCTGATGACCTTTGGAGACTGCCTGAAAAAGCAGTGTCTGTTGGGACTACATGAGTATTTCCTGGTTACACTGGATGAACACAAATGTGATCCCAAATGGCTTCTCCTTTTTTTCATTTATGCCTAACTTCATATGAAACACAGGTCTCCATGAGCTCTCTGACATAGAAAACACCTCCAAACTTTTATTTCTATTATCTTTGTGCTTGTAGGCATAAGGAAACAGAATATAGGTTTTCACAAATATCATATCCTGGTAAGACCTCAGTGTCCAAAAGGAGCTTTACACAGATACATGCTAGTATGGAGATGATATCAAGCATCTAACAAACTACCAGCAAAACAAATATGCCAGGAGCTGTCACACACCCCTTCCCAGTGAGGCCAGGTACCAAGGGCAGGCATTGCAGTCACTGCATTACATCCACAGCAGCAGGATAACCACAGAAAGTGATCTGAATCAAACATAAATCATCAGGGACAAAAGGGTTATGCTTCCCCCAGCATAACAATTTTCAGACTGGTCAGTGGTACAACTGTCCCTCTGCAGGAATGAAAGACCATCTTCAGGACAGAAAAAACGAAGTCCCTCAAAGTATCTCAAAGACCACCTCTCTGACAGGGATCTGGTAAAATTTCACTAGGTCCAGCAGTGCTGGAAAACAGGATATTCAGGGAGGAATGTGAACTCCAGGAAGTAAAAACAAAATACACTGATTCAAATCTATATCTTTTATTCTCTCTTTCTCATCTTTTGGAATTCTCTTGTTTATGAAACATAAAAAGAGAGTTAAAGGCTGTTTCAGTCCAGAATTCTAGCTGCCCAATGGCACAGAAATTAAGTAAAGGCTCATTGTAAATCTACTCAAGCAATCTGAACAATGACATTGTTCATTACTGACATGAAGAAGACTGGTGAAACTTAACAAATCCAGTGTTCACAGAGTACAGTTCTTTGCAAGCAAGAGCTAAAAAGCAATTGAGATAGTTGGAAAGCATAGAGATCGTCTGTGACAGGCTCTGTCAACAGGACTCGGGCTCAGCTGTCCATGCAGCACTGCATTTCTCAGAAGCCCCTACAGCTCACTCAGCAGCACAAAAGGACTTCATTCCACAAGTGGGGATATGTGGAGAACACTTCAGAGAGGAATGATGGGCTCTTTTCTCCACAGCTGCAAAAATTAATTGAGGTACAATCCTATCTTTTATGAAAAACTGTAATAGCGTCATGGCAAAACAGGTGACAGTCACAGAGGAAAATATTTTGCACAAGGGGGAAGATTCTGGCTGGTAGAACTGCTATTTTGCTGTTCTTAAGTTTGGTTATGCAATGCCATGGGAAAGACATTTTTTTTTAATTCAGCTGTGAATGTTGCAAACAGCTAGAAATAAGAAAATACCAGAGCCTCCATGAGAAACAAAAAGTACAAAAGACACAACAAAGAAAAAGACTAATAAATATTGTGTGAGAGGAACAGCCTAATAATGCAAACATAGATCAGAGGGTAGGCAGAAGCAGATTAAAAGGAGACCAACTATAATGAAAATGTGAAAATAAAAGGCAACTAAATTAAATACCAATCATATGCTACCTTGCACACGGAGATGAAAGGGCAAATTTAGCCTAAAACAATATAAAAATTAGGTGAGCACAAAGGGTCAGTCAGTTACTGAAGAACTGATAGTAACGATGAGCAGCAGACAAGGAGGACAAACACTGTAAGATCAGCAAAGCACAGAATGACATGTATTTTCTCTATTTCACTTCTACATACTGTGCTGTACATTTCACAGGCTCTCCAAACAGCTGCAGCACCTGAGCCACAGGATCCATTAACCAACACTGTTCAAATACATGTGAGTTTAAACACGTTTTCATATCACAAAGGTAAGGAGAAGGACTACACTGACATCTAGGTTTATAAAGCATCAAGATAACATGAGGGAAAGTTACGACAATTAATTTTACTATTTTGACATCCATAACTTTCTTCACACAAACATGTTCCTGGCTTTTGATAACCCAAAACACATTTCCCAACACCCTGTAGCATATGAATATAATCCCACAAAGCTCTGTGTGGACTCATCAGAAAAGAGCCTATTGGACCTATTCTGAGCCACACAGTATGGACTAAATGCACATACGGGAATCTGTTATGGTAAAACAAAAACTGAGTAAACTAGTGTTGAATCAACCATAGCATGGGGATGTTCAGGTTTTTACTTGAAACCAGTGTACTCAAATTCCTGCTGGGATGATCGCAGCATACACAATATCAAATACCTCATATCTTTACAAACAATTGATAAGGCAGTCACCAAATGGAAAAATGATTATGTGGTTCTTTATACCATATCCTTTTTGTAAATATCCATTTACAAAACTGTCAAATACACAGAAAAATAAATGATCCTTCTAAAAAGCCATCATTTTATTGCAGCAATGGAAAGGCAGATACAGAGATTTATTGTATATTTGAATATACTTCCAGGTAAAACAGTCCCATGTTACTCACCTTGATCTCTTTCATGCCATGTCCGGCTCCCCGCTGCTGGTGAATTTGGAGAAGGATAAAAGTCTCCTGTCGGGCTTGGCTCCATATTTTCATCTATGGAGATGGTTTTGGGTCTTTTGCTGTTGAAATAATGTGAGATTTGGCAGTGAATATGATATGCAGCTAGTAGTGGTATATAAACTGTTTGGATTTCAACAAATATTTCAATAGAAAGTAATTCAGGCATACAAAGCAAAAAAAGTGGTTATTAGAGCTTACATTAACTTACATAGATGATATTATTTAATAATATGTAATGCAGGTATGTGCTTGCATTTTTCACATGATTAATGTTTCAGAGATGGCATGAATAGGTACCATAAAAGTCTACCAGTACTTGGCTGAACAACCAAGAAACCAGTTCCTGTAGCCTACCAAAGAAAGGTTGTGTCATGAGAGTGTTAAACACTATGCAGAAACCATGAAAGCAAAACAAGGCACTGGAAAAGTATTATTAATAAAGTCAGGATAAAACAGGAACTTTTCAGAATGTGTTAATAAGGAAAAAATGTAGTTTACTGTATTTCACCATGTCAAAAGCATAAGCTTTTCAAAGAAGTCTAACCTGAAACAAAGAGTTTTCATTTTAGACTAGTTTAATTAAAAACAACAAAAAGGCCCATATTTCAAGTCACACTACATAAAATGAGGCAGCACTTCAATACAGTGGAGAGCAGTCAAGTTTCTTTGTAACAATATATACTGAAGCTGTTACGCTGACTGCCAAAGAAAACCAGGATGAAGGTTTTAATGGTGGTGGTATTATTATTACTATTATTTAGACTGTAAGAATTAATCTATCCATTTCTAAACTGTAGTAGATGAACTGCCAAGTTGAAAATACAATGGAAGAGGGGAATATGAGCAAAATAACTCAGGAGCACCAGGTGCTGGTGGAAGAGCACCCCAGTTCCCTGCAGTCATCTTAAATCCCATCCCACTGTGCAGATTCTTCCTGACTCAATGGAGTGCAGAAATATTGGGCAATGAGAGGTCCTACAGTGCTTATGTTTTCATGGTACATCAGACAGTTTCAGAAAACCGAACAGTGACAAGAGACAGTACATTATCTGGGAGTCAGAAGAAGGGTACAGCAAGTTCTCCACCTCTGTGGCCTGGCCAGCTGTTCCTGAGGGAGGGAACAGGGTCTTTCCCAGAGGTGGGAGAAAGAACCATGTTGAAGCAGAGAAGTGGGTCTCTCAGATCAAACTGACTGTAGTAAGCACATGGAGACCCTTGAAAAAAATTTAAAATCCTTGAGAAAAATTGAAGACCTTTGAGAACAATTGAGACCCTGTGACACCAAGTTAAGTGGGAGTGTCAATCTGCATGAGGACAGGGAGGCTCTACAGAGAGACTTGGATAGATTGGATCGGTGGGACAATGTCAACAGGATGAGCTTCAACAAGGCCAAGTGCCAGGTCCTGCATTTGGGCCACAACAATCCCCTGCATGGCTACAGGCTGGGGCAGGTGTGACTGGAGCTGTCTGGGAGAGAAGGATCTGGGGGTTCTCACTGACAAGCACCTGAACATGAGCCAGCAGTGTGCCCGGGTGGCCAAGAAAGCCAACGGCATTCTGGCTGGTATCAGAAATAGTGTGACCAGCAGAAGCAGGGAGGTGACAGTCCCCCTGTGCTCTGCACTGGTGAGGCCACACCTGGAGTGTTGTGTCCAGTTTTGGGCACCTCAATATGAGAGAGATCTCGAGGTGCTGGAGCGAGTGCAGAGGAGGGCAACGAAGCTGGTGAAGGGCCTGGAGAACAAATCCTATGGGGAGAGACTGCAGGAGCTGGGACTGTTCAGTTTGAGGAGGAGAGGGCTGGGGGGAGACCTCATCACTCTCTACAAGTACCTGAAAGGACATTGTAGAGAGGTTGGTGCTGGTCTCTTCTCACAGGCGATTAGTGACAGAACAAGAGGGAATGGCTTTAAACTGCAACAGGGGAGGTTTAGACTGAACATTAGGAAAAAAATTTTCCCAGAAAGTGTGGTCAGGCAGTGGAATAGTCACCATCCCTGAATGTGTTTAAGGGTCGTTTAGATGAGCTGTTGGTGGATATGGTGTAGGGGAGAACTTTGTAGATTTGGGCTGATGATTGGACTTGATGATCCCAAGGGTCTTTTCCAACCTGAATGATTCTGTTATTCGTCTTCCCACTGTGCTGGGAAATGCTCCTTGAAAGGGTGAGGCAGGAAACATACTTTCATGAGCTGGGGTAATGCCACAGATAAAGACACCTTGTCTTTATATACCTGACCTAATGACTTTTTCATAGGAAACAGTATCTGTCCCAACATATCTTTCAAGACAGAGGTCCAGGTGGGAGCCCTCAATGACAGCCTTTGTGTCCGCAACCACCCTTTAGCACTGAGTCCAGCCAGCAGGTTCCCAGCTACCAGACCTTCCTGCATCCCAGCAGCAGTTTCAGGATGCGTAGCTGTTCTCTTAGCAGATGATTTAGTGAGCCCTTCAAACCCTTACAAAAGTTATTATCATCAACAGCAATGACAGACAATAATGATGCCACTTCAGATTACAAGATTTGTAACATACATAAATTGTGATAACATACATAAATATCCTACCTCACAAAATCAGAGGAAATTCATAAAATAAATATCTGTTGTCAGTATTTATGAATTGCTTGTCCTACTCTATTAAATCTCGTTTCACATTAGTACTTATTTCAAGTTTTTACCTGCTTGGTGGAGAGGACAAGGACCTCTGTAGATTTACACCCGAATTCATATCATGGTAATATGGCTGGCTCGGAAGCTCTCCAATTGGGAAATTCACTCCTGTTCCCTGGGTTATGGGTGCTGAAAAATACATCATCATAATGAGACAAAGATAATCTTCTATCTTTTTAGCCATCTTTTAATTTTTAACACTGGGAAAAACTTCAAGATATTACTACATGTATCTAATTTTCTGCCTTTTGCAGAGACCAAGTACAGACAAGTTCTGTCTATGTTTATATATCTAAAAAAATGAATTGTCTTCCCAAGTCCCTAGAAATCCCTTAGCAGTTATGCAGACATGTTTGTTGTATAACAGATAACCTGGAATCATCAATATAAAAAAGGTAACACAAACCTTGGCACAAAGTCTAACCTTCTGTAGAAGGACTTCTATAATGAATGAGGCAGAGTTTATAAGGACAGCTAACATTAATTATTGAAGAACTGAGATAACTGGAAAGAACAAACTTGTGGACACACAAACTCTTTTCCACTTAAACTCTTTTGTATTAATAATAGCCTTCTGACAGCATGTTTTACTCCTTCCTTTTTCTTTCACCTAGCGTCACAGGTTCACAGGTACTACTTTGCATATGTACACCTACACACAAACACACACACTCAGCATTATCTTCACCTCCTTACAGAGTCTGTGTACTGTATGTCTCGGTATTTCAAGAGTAAATTATATGTTACGTATATTCTGGTATATTTACCTTTGTTCACTGTCTGTGCATTCTGCATTTAAACTACCTTTGGCACTTATAAGAATAATTGCATGTTGTGTAATGTATCTGAAGGTTTGTATTTTTCCTGACAGTTAAAGTACAACTCTGTTGCGGCTTGAGGTTAAACAAATGCATGGTAAGAAATACCACAGAAACCACATACTTTAAAGCTTATTATTAGAAGTATATCATGTATAACAGCTGCAGAAGTTATGATTTCATAACATAACTACAATATTGATTCTTTTTTAATCTGAATGGCCTGATACTTTTAAATGTATTAAACTACCTGACAACTAAAAGAAAGCTGTATTTCGCACACCCTCAGCCTCCTAAAACAACAAAACTGTATCTTCAGCAAGAAAGAATATGTCTTAACACTGCAGCATGGCAATGCTCAGTATTTTGCTGAATGACTTAACATAATTGTAATTATTGCATATTAATTTCTGACCACAGCAAATGAAATGACACATGCATCTTAAGCCTCACTAATTTAATTTGGTCAGGCAGTTTTGGAAACCTGTCTCACTGTTTTTGTTCTCACCTCATCAGAAAAGATATTTTCCTTGACCATTCACTTGTTATAATGTTGGTGTCATCACTGCAGACACTTTTAATTATAACTTTCAAGTATTTTTGTTCATTTCTTAATGAATTTTTAAGAGAAATACTTTAATAGTGTTGAGACTAAAGGGAGAAAAGAAGAGCTCCGAAAGCAATGTCAAGTGAAGATGTGCATAGTTTTATGCCATACTATTATGGCAAATTCTTAGATCTTCTTATTTATATTCATTTTTCTTTCTTATTTTTATTCATTTATCTTCTTATTATTTTTATTCATTTTGGGGTTTTATTCTGCAATAAAAGCTTCACCTGTCCTTTTATATTTATATTTTATGTTACTTTTTTTGCACGTTCATAACATTTTGATGCCAAAACAAGCCACTATAAATTAGAAACTCAATTACAGCCAGTTCTATGCATAACAGAAACACAAGCATATAATATATTGTCAGTCATCCTTTATATCCATGCTGTGATTTTTCTTTTAAGAGCTACAAATTCAAAAACAAACTAAAGAATAATCAGATGGTTTAGCAAAATCCAAGGATGTGCAGGACAATCTTAATTGCAATTAAGTTGCAAGTCTAACAAATAGAAGGTTTTGTTATGCATGGTAATTTTATTGACACATCAGTCTATTAAGCTGTGCAGGGGGACACATAACAAACTGATTCAATCTTTAAAAACCAAAGAGACAAAAAAAGACTTCTGTTTGTTTTATTACAAACACATGCAAGATGAACTGTAATACCATGGTAAAAAATATCAAAATTCTGCATGGTTATAGGCATTTCCTATGCATCTTACATTTTGAGGAGAGAAAAAAAGGGCTTTGGAAATTATTAAATGCAAATAATAACTTACTTCTGGACACCCTCACGAGTTCTGACACGTTGAACACTCCAGATTTTACAAAACTGTCCTCAAGGTACACTGAAAAAAGATCACAATACCACAGTCAGTACAATGAGAAGATTAATAAATAACTATAAATAAGTTTATACAGCAGCTAACAGTATCAACAGACTCCCAGAGGTAAAATACACAGATCAAAGGACACTGAAAGCTGATCACAAAATCTAATGAGAGCTGAAATTCAGGTGGTACAAAAAATCTTGGAGTTGGAGAAAGTATTTTTTAATATGTTTAAGAAAACTAACAACTCAGTTCCTAGCTAACCATCCAGAAATTGTCTACAACTAGTTCCTTTTATAAGTATATTCAATTTTTAAGTCAGTATTAAACTAAGAACTGTATCAGCTGGACTAAGCAATTTCATCATAGAGCAGTCCTGTCCTCACATAGATTTCTGCTAAATAGTGGCTTTACACTGCCACCTCCATTGCCACCTCAGAGGTGGACAAGGATTTTACCATTATTTTCAGTAAAAGCAGGAACTGGGAAAAACAGCTGAGCTATTCAATGTGGGGTTTAATATACATGCAGAATTATATATCTAGAAACCTATGTTTAAGAAACCAAATATTATTGTATAGGCTTATGTTTGCTTATGGTAAGACAAATTGGAGTAGTGCAGTGAAAAAACAGCTGATAATCAAGACTTATTTCAGTAGTGTGAGTAAATAACTTTATAAAAAGGGAGCAGAGAAACCCAGGTTTCTGTCAGTGTATCGTATCAATAGTGACTGCATAAACTGACCTGACTGATTTTGAGATTACATGACATCACAGCATTGTTGGAATTCCTACCAGTAAGGTTCTCGATGTCATGTAATCTCATATTCAGTCAAGAGACTGCATTTACCAAAATCAGTATTTAGATCTATACTTGGTGCACATAGCCACTCCAACAGTATTACTTTTTTATTTGTTTTCGTGTGAGATAGTGCACTAAGAATTTCTTACTGGGTTTCTCTAGTCTCTTTTCTGCATTAACACAGCTTTTTTTCTTTTGGAAATACACTGTCAATTTCCTGTTTGAAATCTCTGAATAAGTAAAAGCACTCTAAATGTCTTAACTAACAAAACAAACAAACAAACAAAAGATGAGCCAATTGGAATATTTGGAAAACAATGGTTCAATACTGTTCTCTTTAGATTTCTTTTGCAAATTACTACTTCCATCTTCAAGTAATTTAAGAAAACACTGCCACTGTAATTGGAGAAGTGACTGTAAAAACAGCACACTTCACTTGAGACATCTGTCCTTGGTACATCTGGAGAAATTGCTACCTACTTTTCAGGTCAAACAAGAAAGGCAGAGGCAAAAAGAGGGGTTTTCATTACTTACTAGCAGTCCTACTCGGCCCACAGAGCCGCCTCACCCAGCATCTCTGATATTAGCTAAAAAATGCACCTGACAACTCTAGCTGAAAAAAATCCAACTGAGTATATTTCTTGACATCTCTCTTACATTGTTACACCTACAAGCAAATATGTCAGTCTTCCCCATCTGAAAAACCATCCCAGGAGCAAGTGCAGTAGGCGTGCAGAGCACCATAAGCCTGTGGGATCATCCTGAATGATGTTATGCCAATGCAATCTATCTTCTCATCTTCCAGTCAACGTCACTTAATATGATATCCCTGCATGTCTTTATTTCTACTAGTAGCTCTGCAGGTCTCCCTCTCTTTTTTTCTTCACTTCCTTTCACATTCCTCTCCCTTTCATTTTCAACAGCTTGCCTCCATATCCATGACTTTTCCCTCTCTTACTGTCCTTCACCTGGATGTTGCAGACTTAATCATCTCCAGTTTCTAATACATAAAAGCCTTTCTCTTTCATCTCCTGCCTTCTCTTGCACCCTTTCTCCATTTTTTGTATGGATGAAAACATGACATGGCCTCTCAAATATTTTCTTGTTTATTTGACAGAACCTAGCATACCCATATCATAAAAAAATTGCAGTTAATGTTTCTTTTTCCCCTTCTTCCTTGGTTATCATTTTTTAACCTAAGAATGGACAAGCTAGATGCACACTAATAATTCCTTCACCAGTGGCCATCTTTCCCTTCTCTCACTATTTCCTCAGCAGGAACAGTTTGAAGTAGTACATGGAAGGGAGATTTCCAAAGAAAAATTTGGTTTCTTGATTTCAGTTGCCCTGTAAGTGGAGCATGGCTTAAAGCCAGTGCACAAACATGCAGTCAGCTCTGGAGCTGGTAATGAGACAAGACTGAATTTCTCTGCTGCTTATCCAAATACCACTACTTTGAAGCACAACTTCTCTCATTCAAGTTAGGCTAACTTGACAGGAGCTTTACCCAAGTATAGATTAGTCAAGCTATCATTACAGTGAGAGCAAACCCTAAGGCTCATATTAAAAAAAGAAAATGCCCATGTAGGATTTAATATGTAAGAACACAGATGTATACATGTGAAAGCACACACACACAGAAGCATATGTTTAATCATCAGCCTTCTCTCATGAATTAGGTTTTCTCACTGGCAATACTGAGATTACTTAATCATCAGCCTTCTCTCATGAATTAGGTTTTCTCACTGGCAATACTGAGATTACTCACATAACCTTAAGAGCAATACAGTGTGTTTGTCTCCTTGTAATAATGAAATGTGAGCAAGGAAAAAACTATGCTATGGACTGATACAACTACTTATCACCTCCTCACAGAAGGATGCATTGTTGATGGATGGATCACTGTCTTTCACCCTGGTTTCCCCCTGCCTTGAATGGTCAAAAAATAACAACGCCCTCAGATATATGCAAATGTTTTACTTGGCATTAGGAAAGAGAGGGAAACTGAAGTTATTGTCACTCTCAATCAGCTTTTAAAAGTTTGATTTTTTTCTCTATGTCACAAAATATTATCAAAAAACTGATACAACAATAAAAAGTCTATGTCACAGGCACTGAGCAACTTCATTTTGAGCCTTATGTTTTAACAGAGAAGGTGGATTCCAGTGGTGAATCTGGGTGCAGAAAAATAAACACAGTATGTTCAGTTCCAGCACCAGTGGACTTCAACAGTTTTAACTAGTTAGGATAACAATCCATGCTGGGTATGTTACAGAACTGTTTTTGGCTTCCAGCTGTGCAATAGAAAAATGTTCTCTGCCATTAAACTGCTGTAATTTGTTGCAGAAACATGCACTCTACATACAATAAAGAATAACCAGCAAGACTGTATATAGCAGGACAACAGTACAGGACATTTTGACTTTATGGTGTGACACTGACTTTTTGCTGTGTGAAGCTGACCTCCTACTGATTAAGAGTTAACATTCATATTCACATTATTACACTGCATGCAAGAAAAAAAATATGTGGTGATATTCCATACGGTATAAGTATTACTGATTTTTTGATTAAGCATTTCCTAATGCACTGCTTGCATTGACATGTTAAAGAGCCTTAAATTAGCATTCGGTGTGTGTTTCTGATCTGTTCAGTACAGAAACTAACACACTTGGTAACAGCCCATTGCTGTAGTCCTCACAGAGGATTTACTGTATCTTTTGTTGGTCATGATAGCACTTTGCTGTCTTTATTGTTCAAACCTAATATAAGCATTGAGTATTGTCATTTACCAAAACTTATTTTGCCTGAGAGATGACACTCTGAAATGCATTTCACTAATTGTCATTATTCTTAAAAATCTGAGTTCTACAAAAAGAACATTTCTGCCAAAATCACCATAGTACAATTCTGTATAAAAAGTCAGTAATTTCCCAAACCCATAAATAACAGTTTTTGTACAGGGTAAGTATAAAATCTGTCTTCTCTCCTTACTTTTTTTACAGAAAACTCATTTCTGAAAAATACATTTTCTAAACAATACTACAATGACCAGATCAGTGCCATCAAGAATGAAGGATGTTAGTCCAAGTAGAGGTTCTGATCAAGCTCCCCTCAGTCAGTAACAGTAGAAACCTTCAATAATGCCTCTGACCACTGTAGAAGTTATTGTTCTAGTCCTTATACATCTTCCACTTTATTCCTGTGCTCTGCCTTCAAGAGCTGAGTTGTAAGTATAGCTTTTAACCATGTTAAGATTTAAATGGATTTTTAAAAAAAAAAAAATTTAAAAAAAAAAAAAGTTGTTTAAACCTACTGAAAAATATTTTCAGTTTGCACTAACATGTAATATAAAGGGCTTGTTCTCACATTACTTAAAAGCTTACCAGTGACGTCTGGCTTTACAAATCCTTAACCAGACTTTTTATGTCTTCTGATTTAATTGTACTTATATGAATAGAGCACCTGTTTACATTCTGCTGTGTATTGACTACTGCCAAAACATAAAATTGCTTCCTGGTATCATTAAACATCTGATACAGCCTTGAATTTGAGCAACTTAAAAACAGTAATGGGGATCCAATCAGTGAAGCAAATAATTTGTAATATTGTACTTTTATTTCTGGATCTTTTAGACTAAGCAGTGAAACAGGTTCAACATCAGGAGCTACTGTGAGAAGGAAGGCTGGAAGCTTTATCCTGGTATACAAAATACTAACAGAGAACTGTTAGCTTTATGCAATGTAGTGTTCTGGTTGCTGCTACAAGTTTGTTAGACTTCTGAAAGTGCTACAATTAAAGAGTAAATGATTAAATTGTATAGATTCTTTTGTTTGAGTGTTTGAAAACTGACTTTTTAACGATCAGCTCTCGCTGTTTTCTGCAATACCTAATTTCTGCAGGAAGCTCTTGAATTTCAGCAGAAATCCTAGTCACATACAGCTACTATTCGCAGTTAGAACTGGTAGTGAAAAATTAGTTGAATAGTGTTCATAGTAAGTTAACATAAAGTCAGCAGACTTGAAGTTTGTTTTCCTACAGCATGCATTTTGAAGCCAGTATCTTAAAAATACTACCAGAAACAGGTTTCCACTGAATCAGAATTTCTTAAAGGCAGTTAAGGGTGGATAATGTGAGCCAAGAAGTGACACAGATTTCAGTGATGATGTCATTTGAAACAGCTGAACTAAGGTCTGTCCAGAGGATGAGGCTATTT